ATTTGAAAAGACCTAAGTAGAGAGGTAGCTGGATCTTTGACAGCTCTACTGTAAAGGCTAGCCTAGGGAAACAGATACCAAGGTCATAGTATCTGTCATAGTAGCCAGACAGGCAAGAACTTCCAGATTGTGAGTCTCAGAAATACCACCAACCAGACTGCTAGAATGAACCAGAGGAAAAAGATATTAGGCTGACCCGATATACTGATGGACTGGTCATAGTTCTACATAAGCTATCTGAATTAGAAGTTTGGTAAAAAGGCAAATGAAAAGGCAGAAGTATACTAAAGTATTGATGTTATGCTGTGAAGTAGATGCTGGGGTCTAAGTGAACTCTACAAGAGCATAGTGGTTTAATGGTCAGCCCTGACTGCAAATATTGGTTCTGCTATAGCAATACCTAGGTCAGTTATAAAAATAGGTACAGAAGACTCTAAGGAGTTTACCTTGAGGATAAATTAGTCCTAAGATTGAGATAATAATTTGGACATCTGAGTATGACCCAGTGAGTTAACACAGATTACAGATTCAGAAGGTTTAAAGTAGAACATCCAAGCAGAGATGTTAGATATGACAATTGGTAGAAAACCTTTGGGTAAACTTCTTAAATAGGTAATATAGAAAAGTTACATATATAGCCAATTGTACTCTCTCCTATAGTAGTTCATTGAATCACCATACTGATAAGTAATTAATAAAAGTTAAAAGACCAAAGAGGTCATCTTAATACAAAAAAAAAAAAATTTAATAATTAATATATTTTTAAATAATATAAATATAAAATATATATTAAGAGGTTTATTTTATATATATGCTATATCTCAGATTTGAATAGGTGTGGGTTCAAAATTGAGTTGTATAAAATTAAAATTTGACTTTAAGATGTGTCAAATTAGTTTATTATTTATATATCATACTAAAATATATATGATAAATGTTGTAATAACAAGCTAATAAACCAAAACTAAAATCTTTTAAACTTTTTTTTGATAATTAAATACTATAAAGTATTTATTTATTTTATAACAAACTTTTGATAATTTAGTCAAAAAATATTGGCACCAAACAAGAGAAAAAAGGCCTTAATAAGCCAAGTTAAATTATAACAAATAAAGAAAGTTTTTCTTAATTCTACAAATACTAAATTATACATCTTTGTATTTCATTACTGGGCCAAAAATAAACTTAAATTACAAAAAATTTTATCTAATTCTTATATTGTATTTCATGTTTAGACATAAATAAAAAACAATGAAAAAATTAAAATAGAACTTCTTGTATTAGTTATAAAAAATATGTATAATGAATTTTGCTAAATATATGTTATAGTTATTCAATATGCAGGTCAAAAAAAAACTTGAAACCAAATTAGTAGTAAATAGGATTATTGTTAGCAAGATTATATTGAACATTTTGTATCACAATATACTATATATGCAACAAGACTTATAAGAATTTCACTATTAGCTGAAATACTCATTATTAAACAAAAGTTTATGTTACATTTTCAGATAAATATTTTATATAATAATATATTAATTTTTTTTTTTTTTAAATATTAAGGTGAGTACTTGTGATCTAGAATTTTATTAATAGTATATTTGGCTAATAATTGCATTACAACCACAAGGGACAACTATAAAAAGAGTGTACAACTAGCTATTTGTATAACTTTAGTCATTGTCTAATTTAAGTAGTCTGCCTGAAGGTTCTATACTAGTTGTCATACCTAGAACCTGCCTGTAGGTTTCCTATTTAATCATTCTAGTTTTTATATCCATCTATCTACCTTTTTCTCTAAAACAGATTTCAGTGGTCTGGTTAGTTCTATTCAGTCCTTCTTAAAGGCTAGCTCTTTGCCTAGTTTTACAAGTTTTAGCTCCATTTCATAGATCTAGTCTTTATAGTAGTACTGTTAAAGATTTGGATTACTTCTCTACTCAGGTCTTTCAAGTAGGCTTCTGTCTTTTTATCTGGTTCTTATAATTTATACAATCTAAGAACTTATCTTAAGTTTACACTACCTAGTACTAGTTTGTGTTTCTTCATACAATATTGCATAAATACATAGACTTTCCAGTTATACTAATATGACACAGGTTACAGAAATCTTATTCCAACTAATCATAGAAGACAGTTAACCATAATACAAAAAGAATTGCAAATTTTTGCCATCACTAGAATTTGAATTCTAGATCTGCCACTTGGGAGTTGACAACCTATTCACTTTACTAGGTCATAATATATTAATTTTTATTATATATTTATATAATAATAATATAAAATTAATAAGTAATAGATTGATTTAGTTGATATAACTTTTCAACAAGATAATGAATTCAAATATATTGTTTATATTCATGATTACTTTACAAAATACTTATAGGCTTATGTACTTACTTCAAAATGTTTAGTTGAAGTAGCAGCTTTTTTATTTAATGTTTTTACAATATTTTGACCACTTTTAATTTTTTAATTAGATAATAGAAGAGAATTTGTCTCTTCAATAATTACTAAATTGATTTAATTGTGATCTATAATTCAAATTATTTATGAAAGGCCAAGACATCCTGCAAGTTAAGGTCTGGTTGAACAAGCAAATGAAATACTTGAAGTAAATTAGAAAAGTAAATAGAGGATAACAAATGTCAAGATTGGTTATTTGAATTGAGATTTATAATTTATACAATAAATAATTCTATTTGTAAAGCATACAATAAAAAACCTTATAAACTTGTATTTGATAGGGTTTTATATAGAAATTCTGTTATGATTAATCAGTTATTTAAGAATAATATTTCTTATGAAGATGAAATTCTAAATGAATTTAATTTGAAAAATATTTAAGAATCAATTAATAATTTAGATAATTAATTTATAATACTTTATCTACAATTAAGTTCTTAGTAAGTTTGAATCAAGATTTAAACTTGAATAATTTAATTAATAATATGAATAATGTGCCCATAATTAAATCAAGTAAAGATTCAAGTTTAAACAATTTAATTGATAATACTAATACTATAATTAAAACTTCAACTGATGATACTAAAATATTCATAATTGAATCTTTAAGTTTAAATTCAAATTTGAAAATGATAATTTTATTTATAATTAATTATTAAATTATGTATTACAATAAATATAATATATAAATTAATATTTCTTTAGATTGACTCTTCTTCTTAACATTCATATATTTCACAATTATTGCAAGACTTAACAAATTAAATTTTAACAGATCATTAAGTATTACAAAAATTTGCTCAACAAAATTTAGAGAATTATATGATAAAGATGACCTCTGCAATGGTTGCAAAATCAAAATATAAACTAGAATATAAGATCAGAGAGTATGTAAAAATTCTTATTCTCAAGATTGACCAATTTGGTACAAATTGATCTATACTTTTATGCAAGATTTTAGATAAGTTAAATTATAATGAAACATTTAAATACTATTTTGAATGCAAAAGTGGCATATTAAATAATTTATATTGTGCTAATGAATTGAAACCATTAGGCATAAAAGAATATCCAGAGTTAAATAATATTCCAACAGATAATATTTCTGTTAGAGAAGCTGTACAAACTCAAAATACTGATAATGGCTTTATGAAAAATATGTGCAAGTATAAAAATAATTATAGTACTAATAAATGCTATTGCAAAAGTCAGAAGTTGGGTATAGAAGTAAATGTTATAGTGGAACAATATGCAATAATAGAAATCTAAATTAAAATATATATATAATTTATATTCTGCTTAAATTTATTTTTACTATATTACTATATTATATATTTTATATTATCAATTTTAAATTGATGCACAATAAATAAATTAATTTGACACATCTCAAAATGAAATTTTGGTTTGACATAGCTCAGTTTTAAATTCACACTTATTCAGATCTCATACACAATATATATAAATATAAATAAAATTTTTAAATTTTAAAAAAATTTTATAATTACTAACTTTTTTATATATAAATATTA